AAATCCGGAGGCGGCCCGTATTTCTGCTTTCAATTTAGTGGCGTTTATTGTTGGGTCACAGGCTACCAGCAATCTGATGTAGCGCTTCTGAGCAGCTGTCAAAACAGTTGGGCGACCGCTGCGGGTTTTCTCTCGTAAAATAGCCTTCTTCCCTCGAAAGTTACAATTCTGGCTCGTAAAACATCTGAAAATCCTCGTGGCATCTTTTAAATCACAACTTTCCGTGTTGAATAAGTCTGATTTCTGAATAAGTGTCAGCTTGAATTGCATGTCTTTTTATATGGAAAAATGTGCGGCACGCCGGGCTGTAGCAGTAGCTGGCAGTTACCGACTCGCACTTGGGGGTGGAGGATGGTACATGTAGGAGTCTTGGCGATGGTTGTGGACTGTAGCTTTCTATGAACCGATAGCGTAGCGTTTGACTTTTACAACAGCTTGTAACAGCCTAGACTGAATAAATGAGTTTGAGTTTGAATAAAACTCCCAGTGTTCTATATCGAAGAAAATCGGTGGGCGCTGGTAATGGAAGGCCGGTCGAGGAGTCTTCAGGTCCAGAGTGAACCGCTTGTTTCTTCCTGTTCCTTTAGGTAGGAGCGCCTGTAGCTGTCTGACATGTCGGACCCTGTTTCATCCCGTTTTTTATATGCGCGGGCTGAGCTGGCCCGCGATCCATTACCTCACCCCCGCTATACTTTATTATTCATTTATTTACGATATACGGTATCCCGAGCTTAAATCTATAGGTACATACATGGGGCATACAAATTAGCATATTTTTAGTGCATTTGCGCGGCCAAAATCATCATAATTTAGCTGTGGCGCGCAAAAAGGTGTCCGCAATATTTATACTCGCTCCTCCACGGGGCTCCGCCCGCCTCAGGCCTGTTTTCCCCACCTACGCGCTCCTCGTTGCGTGGGGTGAGTGCTGAGCACGTTTCATACAAATTGATTTATCCTATTTTTAGCATATTTCTATATTTATCGTTCTGATACCTAATTATTTACGTCTTAATGACCGAATACAATAAGTTTCTAATAGGATTAATCTTTCACAATGGCTTTATAGCCCTACAAAGTTACAAAATTAAATGGTCTCTAAAAACCTACTTATAAAGAAAATATAACTATAAAAAATTCCACGCGGACCAGGCAGCAGACGGGACTCGAACCCGCATCCTTCACTATTCGGGTGAATGCACTGACCAATTATGCTACTGCGGCCCTGATGGCCGCGTCGAAATTCTTCTAGCCATTCTTAAGCTGCAAGGCAGCGCCATCTCTTCGCATTGTAGGAAACCCACAATGTCAAATGAATACTTTTACTTTTTTTTTTTAATGTTTAATACTTGTAAAAGTATTCATTTGACATTGTGATTTTGAGAGATGGCGCTGCCTTGCTGCTTAACAATGGCCATCAAGGCCGCGGTAGCATAATTGGTCAGTGCATTCGCCCGGATAGTGAAGGATGCGGGTTCGAGTCCCGTCTGCTGCCTGATCCGCGTGGAATTTTTTATAGTTATATTTTCTTTATAAGTAGTTCTTTATAATTGCTATTTCTTCTTTTAAATGTTTAATACTTGTAAAAGTATTCATTTGACATTAATCAAACTGAAACTATCAGCCGACAGGGACGAAACATAGAAGATAGGGTTCGAGCCCTATATTTTTTAAAAATTAGAATTTTTCATTGCGAAATTACAAATAATATTAACAATTAACGTGACAAGTTTAGGTACCTTTATCTCCTCTCCTAAAAATATAATATAAATAAATTGTTGAAACTGAAACTAGCAGCCGACATTCTCTTGAAACAAAATATTTTTTTTTCAACTAAACTATTAGAGTATATTGGCTGATATTACTTCCACTGTTTCTTCACCATAAAAATAAGATTTAGGAGAAAATTTTAGCAATTTCGTATGTCTAGGAGATGAGATACAGCTTTTTAAACAAAAAAAATCTCCTGAGAAAATATTTTTTTACAACTAAACTATTACAGTATCTTGGCTGAAATTACTTCCACTATTTCTTCACCCTAAAAAGAAGATTTGAAGAAAATTTCAGCAATTTCGTATGTCTAGGAGAAAGGATACAGCTTTTAAACAAAAAAAAAATCTCCTGAGAAAATATTTTTTTACAACTAAACTATTAAAAAAAATATCTTGGCTGAAATTACTTCCACTATTTTTTCACCCTAAAAAGAAGATTTGAAGAAAATTTTAGCAATTTCGTATGTCTAGGAGAAAAGATACAGCTTTTTAAACAAAAAAAAATCTCCTGAGAAAATATTTTTTTACAACTAAACTTTTAGAGTATCTTGGCTGAAATTACTTCCACTATTTCTTCACCCCAAAAAGAAGTTTTGAGGAAAATTTTAGCAATTTCGTATGTGAGGAGATGAGATACAGCTTTTTAAACAAGAAATCATTCTCTTGAGACAAAATATTTTATTACAATAAACTATTAGAGTATCTTGGCTGAAATTACTTCCACTATTTCTTCACCCTAAAAAGTAGTTTTGAGGAAAATTTCAGCAATTTCGTATGTGTAGGAGATGAGATACAGCTTTTTAAACAAGAAATCATTTTCTTGAGACAAAATATTTTATTACAATAAACTATTAGAGTATCTTGGCTGAAATTACTTCCACTATTTCTTCACCCTAAAAAGAAGTTTTGAGGAAAATTTCAGCATGTTCGTATGTGTAGGAGATGAGATACAGCTTTTTAAACAAAAAAAAAATCTACTGAGAAAATATTTTTTTACAACTAAACTATTAGAGTATCTTGGCCGAAATTATTTCCACTATTTCTTCACCCTAAAACCAGGTTTTGGGGAAAATTTCAGCAAGTTCGTATGTTTAGGAGATGAGATACAGCTTTTTAAACAAAAAAAAATCTCCTGAACAAATATTTTTTACAACTTAACTATTCGAGTATCTTGACTGTAAAAAAATATTTTCTCTCAGGAGAAAGATTATTTATTTAAAAAAAAAGCTGTATCTCATCTCCTACACATACGAAATTGCTGAAATTTTCTTCAAAACTTCTTTTTGGGGTGAAGAAACAGTGGAAGTAATTTCAGCAAAGATACTCTAAAAGTTTAGTTGTAAAAAAAATTTCTCAGGAGAATATTTTATTTGTTTAAAAAGCTGTATCTCATCTCCTAGACATACGAACATGCTGAAATTTTCCTCAAAACTTCTTTTTAGGGTGAAGATATAGTGGAAGTAATTTCAGCCAAGATACTCCAATAGTTTATTGTAATAAAATATTTTGTCTCAAGAAAATGATTTCTTATTTAAAAAGCTGTATCTCATCTCCTACACATACGAAATTGCTGAAATTTTCCTCAAAACTACTTTTTAGGGTGAAGAAATAGTGGAAGTAATTTCAGCCAAGATACTCTAATAGTTTATTGTAATAAAATATTTTGTCTCAAGAGAATGATTTCTTGTTTAAAAAGCTGTATCTCATCTCCTCACATACGAAATTGCTAAAATTTTCCTCAAAACTTCTTTTTGGGGTGAAGAAATAGTGGAAGTTATTTCAGCCAAGATAATGTAAAAGTTTAGTTGTAAAAAAATATTTTCTCAGGAGATTTTTTTTTGTTTAAAAAGCTGTATCTCATCTCCTAGACATACGAATGTGCTGAAATTTTCCTCAAAACTTCTTTTTAGGGTGAAGAAATAGTGGAAGTAATTTCAGCCAAGATACTCTAAAAGTTTAGTTTTAAAAAAATATTTTCTCAGGAGATTTTTTTTTGTTTAAAAAGCTGTATCTCATCACCTAGACATACGAAATTGCTGAAATTTTCTTCAAAACTTCTTTTTAGGGTGAAGAAACAGTGGAAGTAATTTCAGCCAAGATACTCTAATAGTTTAGTTGTAAAATAATATTTTCTCATGAGAATATTTTTTTTTTGTTTTAAAAGCTGTATCTCATCTCCTAGACATACGAACATGCTGAAATTTTCCCCAGAACTTCTTTTGAGGGTGAAGAAATAGTGTGTGTAATTTCAGCCAAGATACACTAATAGTTTAGTTGAAAAAAAAAATATTTTGTCTTAAGAGAATGTCGGCTGCTAGTTTCAGTTTCATTTGACATTGTGGGTTACCTACAATGCGAAGAGATGGCGCTGCCTTGCAGCTTAAGAATGGCTAGAAGAATTTCAAAGAAGACTTCTGTAACACAAAAGAAAACTATTTTTCAAAGTGATCGCAAACTTTTTTTGATGTGTGTTTCTTTTAACCTACACAAAAAATACTTGAAAACATTCCTAATTTCATGTTCAATTATGAGATTATTTTACATCTACCAGCCAAAACCTCCTTTCCTGCTTTTTTATATATCTTTTTACATTACTAACTTCCTAGCCCTTTTTTAGGTTCAGTAACCAAAGCCAAAGAGTGACAGTGGAATTCTTGTGCTAAGTTGACAGTGCTGTCTGTTTATCTTTCTGTCATTGAACTCTATATCGAGAACATAGTTATGCTTTTTAAATAATGTGTTTTCTGTGTAATGTGTCAGAAAAACTCTACCAATTCCTTTAAAGGGGTTATACTAGAGGTCATTAGCAACAAATTAAGTCCAGTAAACTAGAGGTCAGAACTGGTTACAGAGTCGTGACGGTTCTTCGATTTTTTAGATTTTCTCTGACTTGCTGTCAAAAACTTTTGCTGATTTTAATAAAAACAACTAAGAAATTTAATAATATCTTTTGTATCTTGTTGGAAAGCTTATGAAACTAGTTTGTCATTTTACTAATTTGTACGCCAAATACTATACAGTTATTTTCCAAAAATTTACGGCGAAGATTGGTAAAAATACAAGAAACGTTTTATTTCAAACTTCAGGCATACTTTCTTTCTGAAAAAGCTTATTTTGTTCCTATCATACTTATTCTAATTAATTTAATATGTCATAAATTTTTAATTTTTTAATATTTAATATATGAATGGAATAGAAATAATGTACAGATTGACAATTTATCTGTGACAGCTCTAAAGTGTTACTGCAACAGTGAGACATGTCCAAATAGCACATGCGAAACAGACGGCTACTGTTATGCCTCCACCAGTCTCAACAACGGGGTCCAGAAGTTCACCTACCAGTGAGTATCTGTAATATGAAACAACACCATGTTGCCTTATTCAAAATTCTCAACAAATCTAATCAACATGCAAAAATATTTAAAATTTACTATCTAGTTTAATTAGAGGTACATATTTGGAACTCATTAACAATTGGCGATACAACATAAATGATATTAACAATTAGTTTTAACCGATTTTGATGGAATGCTTGTGGTTCTTAGCTGTTTGAGCTCGAAAGAGGCCTTCCCGCCTCATAGTTCACCTGATAGAGTGTTACTATGCAAACAGCCAGCATATTGCTGCACGTATGATCAGTGCAATACAGAGGAAGTTTACCGAGAGAACTTGAGTCGGGCGTCTCGGCCGGCGGGCACCGGTAAGGCGCACATGTGGCCGTGTGGTATCTACCTTTACTATGCAACGAGTTTGTTTGATGTATTAGAATCATAATTGCATCGCCGTTTCCGATAAGTTTTTGTTGAGATGCCGAGACTCTAACATATCGCTTCTGATTTAGTGATTTGAATATGTACCTACTAAGCGATAAGTCGAATTCATAATTAGTATGTTTTGAATGATGTGCCGTTAACAAATTATTTTCCGAGTGTGCGTTGGTTTTGCTTTAACCTACTAAACGTAACGGGTGGTTCCACTTGCGGCGCAGCTGCATCGACCGCGCATTATTGATACCCATCGAGCACCCCTTCAGTTGCTCCACGCCGAAGACGAGAAATGAATCTGTCGCGATAGAATGTTGTAACAGCCATGACATGTGCAACCGGGAGCTGCCCCTGGAGCTGCAGCCCAGGCCGCCAGGTAGGCTCGACGTAGTGTGCGCTAACGGCTTATCGCATGACTCTACAGTGTTATTTTGCCCTAATACAAGTGTCCGACCGATCCGGTTTCGATTTTAAATTTGAAATGTTACATAGCTTCTAACATTTCGCGTGAAAGTAAGATAAGAGTCTGGACAAAAATGATGAATCTTGATAATATTTTGATGGCGTTCCTGCTTTGGGCTAAAACGAGATCGAAATCCGGAGCCTGTCGGACACTACCATTTTATTGCCTTCCTTTAGACCGGCACTGATCACCTATGGAGAGTACACTAATGTGACGATATTTCGACTTAGATGTTGGGACCGGAAACAGTTCTTCCCCCCCGGGGACAGGCCCATATGGTGCCGTGAAGCCGAGCACCCGGATATAAAGTGCTGCTCCACGGACTTCTGTAACCGTGACATCTTCCCAGGTACGGATCAGCGGATGTGCCGTCAGCCGCCTGGGTAGCTTTGTTGTGATGTCCTCGACGGATGTTTGTCCAGCCACCATGTCATCCATGGTGTTCTAACCAGGAAACACTCGGTCATTATCGTCGAAACTGTATCACCGGTGATGCATGCACTGAGAATGCGAGAGCGCAGTCTTGCCAGTCGGCTGCCATCACACTAAATTGCATAGAGTTTGCTGTTATGTGGCGATTTCAAGTATTCATTACAACTGTGTTTAAAGAGGTTGTGTTAAATCAAATTTGGGAGGAACTTATACTGTCTGTAATTCGGAGAGCCTGATCTCTTTGGGAGAATCCGTACGGAGATACAAGAGCACAGTGGGTCATTCATCGCTACTCGCATTTGTCCTATCACAAGCTTGAATGTGGGAATATACTCGAAAGTTGTAATTCTAGGGACGTGTCGTATGCCAGTTCGGTAGTCGCGCGCAACGATGACGTAAGTGATCATGAGCCGGTTTACAATTTATCTCTTTTTACTTTGCATGGCGTTCATTTATTAATTTTCCACTGCAACTTAATTTCGATTGAGTTTACGCTAACACACTGACTAACCAAAATGGTAGTTTTTTTTAAAACCTTTGCTGTTGTACATGGACGTATTCTAACGAGACGGTTCCGTTTGTTTCAAATAATTATCCATTTTCAATCAGAAAAGATGTATCATGCCTTAATCATGGTTTCTTTTTATAGCAATGGGTTTAAAATTTACATTTGCATGTGGTGTTATGTTAAATGTTTCATAGTTATTTAAGATTGCTCTGTTTCAAATGCATGTTGCAGTCCTTGTCCTGCTATCAGTACACTCGTAGGTATAACATCTTAAAATCAGATTCGCTATGAATAAAGGTGTAGATTATGCTACCTTAAAAGTTTGTAATTTGGAAAATCCTTGTCATGCTCTACATGGAATGCAAATCAAACACGAATAGCCTAGTGAAATACGCGGCTTTCCCATATTACAAACTTTGAAGGTAAATTAATACTTAATTGGAATTAATTGAACCTTGGAATTTTAATTACTTCTTGCAACAATCTCTTTAAAAAGACCTGGTCTGGTAAAAAATCCACGAATCCTTTTTAGAATTAACCCTTTAGATTACAGAAGATTCAGAATAGAATTGACCCTAATATAATTTGTATTTTTATGCCGCAAAGACATTTCTGTTGTAGTTTAATCTTAAAAAAATAATTTTGATATCTCTTCTTACTGCGCCTGATAGGATTTATTAAGAGGGTTCCGCATAAAAATCAAATAAAATATTTTACTCGATATTTGATAAATAATTTCCAGTATAGTTTGAAATTAGTCTTAGCCTCTTTAACATGAAATTAACTCCTAATTACCGACACAACAACACCCCCGCCGTTGTGCTGCCGTCTGAGGTCACGTAATTTATACTCATCCCCTTTTAGTATCCTGAATCGAACAGTACCTATTTCACCTTCAACCTGTTTTTGGGGTAGGTAGGTCATAGTGGATTATCCGTTCGAATTTGAGCGCCCGTCTGGGAAAGAAACTTCCACTTTACAGAAGATAACAGTAAAATAACACTGCCTTTTGGTGGTGTTATGTTTATGTCGGTGAGTAAGGTTCTAGGGTTCCACGGGGTAGGGGATGGGGTCAGCAAGCGTCTATGGGCTATGGTGGCCGCTTACCATCAGAAGGGTATGTTTGTTTTCCACCCTTTAATTAAATGTGATGTCCAGTTATGAAGATGATTCAGCAAATATGTGCGCAGCTACAGCCATTTCCCTTACCTTCCCGGTCTGAACTCAATCCCCCACCCCGTGGAGCCCTGGAACGCTTACCACCAGAATTCAACATGCCACCAAAATGTATGTTAGTATTATATTACTGTATTCTTCTATAAGCTGAATAACCAGATTACAGCCTGACACGTACGCAAAAAAAAATGTCAGACCTGTCAAGGTCTTATCTCAACAAATTTTAAAATTATGGAGTTGCTCTCCCTCATGGGCGCTCCAATTCCAGCGGAAAATCCGCTATTTACTTCTGTTATTACTTGTTCAGTTCGATTTACAGTGACCATAAATTATCTAATGTACTAGGAAAGCAGTGACGGTAGAGGCAGATTTAAGGTTTTCTGTTTTTACGGAACCCCAAATTATAAAAAGATGTGTATGTATTACTATTTAGCATAGATTGACAACATATAAAAAAAATGTCTTGTCCAAAAAAGAAAAACATAGGATGCATTAGCGGCAATATTTGTTGTGCAGGTATATTAAAGCCTTTGAAGAAAGGGAATATTTGGAGATAGTTACAGCGATGAGTTGACAAGCTGTCACTATCGATTCGGGACACTTTGTCTTCATATCTATATTATACAATTTTATTTTACAGTATTGTATTATGTGAATGCGTAGGATTGTGTGAACTACGCACCGGAGAAACTATTAGTTTCGACGACAACTCTAGTAGTAAGTCATCCGGTGCGAGATTGATACTAACAGGCAAATAACAACAGGATATAAATGCCTACAGGACCCGAGCCGGTCCGAGTCACGACGTTAAATACGCTATTGCTATCTAGTAAAACCCACAAATTGGACACAATGACTTGTGTGAACAGTTCGCCGTCATGCGTCATACATTGCCGTTTATCAATGCACTCTAATTGAGAATACTGCTCAATATCGCTTAAAGTATCGGCACCGTACAGGAATTGTCGTTAGAACACGGAACTTTGCAAACGCGTTTATTAAATCATTGTTTTTTTTTCTATTAACTTTTTTTTTTAGTAGCAGATTTTATAATAGTGAGGGCAAACCATTAGAAGCCTCTTTAAGATAATCACGACCTAGTGAAAAGCTAACTCATTCCGAGAATAGAGATTAAAAAATATGAATTCACTTCTTTTCTTAAAATTGGTTAAAATAGAAAAAAAAATCATTCTTTCATTGACCTTAGATCATAACCTTAGGTTACAAGGAAGATGGATGCTTAGGTCAGACTCATGGTACCTATATACATGGTACATATATAATGTCATGGTCCCCACATATTAGCGAAGTCAGTAAACGTATTCACTACTCATTTCACTCCCTCAAGCGGCTTCAATTTTTTCTTCCCTTCAAAACCAAAATTATGCTGGCGCAATCACTCCTTCTCCCCATTCTCGACTATGCCGATATTTGCTACTTGGATGTAACTGAAGATCAATTGAATAAGCTAGAGCGTCTCCAAAATCTTGCAATTCGTTTCATATTCGGATTGCGTAAATATGACCGAGTTTCTGCTTTTCGCTCTCAATTGAAATGGCTTCCCATTCGTCTTCGACGTGATATGCATATCCTATCATTCTTGTTTAAAATCCTCAAAGATCCTAGTTCTCCTCATTACCTTGTTTCCCGTTTCAAAACGCTTCCTCCCCCTTCTCGTCCTAAAAGGTCTTGCAACACGAAGACACTTGAACTACCAAAAAGTAATACCAACTTCTTTTTCCATTCCTTTTCTGTTCGTGCTGTTTTACTCTGGAACAGACTTCCATCTAGTATTCAAGACTGTCCTTCTATTGTCTCTTTTAAAGCAAAGGTCAAAGAGCACTTTCTGGAAATAAATTCACACTCTTAGTTGTCTATTTATTCCACTCTTTGTTTTATCTTAACATAATTTCATGTAATGTGTATTTATTATTTTATAGTGTATGTATGTATGTATATATATATACATGTATTTATGTGTGTATGTATGTATTTATTGTAAGTATTTGTGTATATTCATATGAAAATATATTTATGTATGTAGTCTTAGATAGGTATATAATCTACAAGTAGGTACTTAGTGCACACGTCTACACCCGCTTACTTTTTTCTCTCACTAAACCTTGGTTGGCTGGAAGAGATCTCTCTTAGAGATAAGCCCTCCTTTGCTCACATATTTATGTTTTGTATCTTATATTTTTTTTTGTGCAATAAAGAGTATAATATACATATATGCATGATGATGCTGATATAGATTATCAGCGGTTTTACCGTCGCCGAACCAGAATGCAGAATAGATTGACGAAAATACATGATATTGAAGACGATATGGAATAAAAAAAACTGTTTTTTTCTGATATTGATAATTTGTAGTCGTGTGTTGTATGTAGTTCTGTATTCCTTGAGGTAAAATAATACAACGATTTAAAGTCTGCATGGTTAACGGAGCGTGTGTTTGCCGTACCAACCTCTTCTAACTAAATTCAGCGCATTCCCTAAGAAGTGGGCGAAATCATTAGATTTGCCAAGCCACTCATAAGAAATTAAATATGTATCTACCACTTACGTTCAACGTCTGAAGCATGTTAAGAATTGTACCTACTAAATTCATTTTGTACAGTGACAGAAAAGGATCCATCTCTACAGTGGAAGTCTAATAAGAATCAATATATTGATACAAATGGTTTATAGGACTAAACCGTGTAACCTTGGATATTGATAACAGGGTGTTATAAATGCGAAAAGGTTTTTGAATTTCAAAACATCTCTACACGTTTCAAGTCTGTGTGTATCTGTA